CATCTCGTCCTCTGTCGTCCCCTTCTCCTCTTGCCTTCACACTTTCCCAACATCAGGGTCATTTCCAGGGAGTCTTCTCATGAGATGGCCAAAGTATTGGAGCCCCAGCTTCAGGATCTGTCCTTCCAGTGAGCACTCAGGGTTGATTTCCTTCAGAATGGATAGGTTTGTTCTCTTTGCAGTCCAGGGGACTCTCAAGAGTCTCTTCTAGTACCACAATTCAAAATCATCAATTCTTCGCCGGTCAGCCTTCTTTATGGTCCAGCTCTCACTTCCATACGTCGCTACTGGAAAAACCATAGCTTTGACTATACGGACCTTTGTCGGCAAGGTGATGTCTCTGCTTTTTAAGATGCTTTCTAGGTTTGTCATTGCTTTAGTCCTAAGAAGTAGGCGTGTTTTAATTTCGTGGCTGCTGTCCCCATCTGCAGTGATCATGCAGCCCAAGAAGGTTAGTTTTTTTTTTTTTTTTAATATTGAGCTTTGGACAATTTTTTGCGCTCTCCTCTTTCACCCTCATTACGAGGTTCTTTAATTCCTCCTCACTTTCTGCCATCAGAGTGGTATCAACTGCATATCTGAGGTTGTTGATATTTCTTCCTGCAATCTTAATTCGAGTTTGAGATTCATCCAGTCCTGCCTTTCGCATGATGTATTCTGCATACATGTTAAATAAACAAGGGGACAATATAAATCCTTGTCGTACTCCTTTCCCAATTTTGAACCAATCAGTTCAAAAGGATACTGGCCATTACTGTACTATGCTTAACTTTGTATACTGGGAGGACAACCAACCCATTTTCTACAAGCGGACTTCTGCTCATACAATGAATCTTTCATATCCTACAGACACACACACACACCCAAAAAAAATGTATCAAAGAGCTTCTCAGCTCCCCAGGACATTTCTGGGCTTGTGCAGGGACAGTCAGTTCTGGAATCTGGGATTTTGGGGGTGGTGGTTCTTCTCTTGTACTCTGCTTAGTGTTAAAGCTAAGAGCTTCAACATGAACTTTCATGGATAGCTCCCATTTCTCCAGTAGCACAGAGTACAATATGGGTTTGCACACTGATTAGAATGGTGAGACAGAATGAACTGACATACAGAAAACACTTATATTATTAGTGGTAGTTGTGATTAGGGCTGGTAAAATATGCTCATCATAGTAAGGTAAGTTACACAAGACACTTACCATCTGGGATGTTAAAAGTGGTTTTACTTTCAACAGAGTCTCTGCAGTGAAGCCAGAAATGCCGTTTTATTTATTGTCTTTGCTGGAAAATAATTATACACAGCTGGGTAGTAATACAAACAAGTAAGATGAGAAGCCCTATCCTTATTCAAGCTAAGAAAATTACAGTTTAACATTTTGATGTTGTCTTGATCAGCTATTTCTCCTTTGGAATCTGAAGTTCTTTTTTCCAAGGATGGCCATCCTAAGCTCAGAGACTGGTGTTCTTAAGAACATAGAAAGAGCCCTGCTAGGGGCTGTATCTCAACAGGGAGGTACCTTCCTTTTAAGCCTGGAGATCATCTGTCCCCATCAAGGCTTGTAGCCTGTGATTGACATTTCACCCAGAAATCTGTCCAATCCCCTTTTAAAGGCACCCAGGCCAGATGCTATCACCACATCCTGTGGCAATGAGTTCCACAGACTAAACACTGGGTAAAGAAATATTTTCTTTCGTTTCTTCTCACTCTCCCAACCCTCAATTGGAGTGGATGTCCCCTGGTTCTCGTATTGTGTGAGAGGGGAAAGAACTTCCCTCTATCTACTTCCCTCTATCTACAACCTCAGATATGCAGATGATATGTGAATATTATTTTGAACACACACAAGGGAGACTACCATTCACACTCAACTACTGCGTACATTTAACAAAAGTAAGTGGAGGGGAAACCCAAATATGGGAGCACGGTAAAAGCTAATATATTTATTTTAGTGTGCCTTTTTGATATTTCAAAATCCACTTCTTTAGACATAGTGAGTTAAAATGCATGTCTCCTAGGAATATTATTTTGAACACACACAAGGGAGACTACCATTCACACTCAACTGCTGTGTACATTTAACAAAAGTAAGTGGAGGGGGAAACCTAAATATGGGAGCATGGTAAAAGCTAATATACAGTATTTATTTTAGTGGGCATTTTTGATATTTTAAAATCCACTTCTTTACACATAGTGAGTTAAAATGCATGTCTCCTATTTTTATTCCCATGGTGGCAAGATTCATGTCCAGGTGAGGATGATAGAGAGAATGACAGTGGCTTGTCAGCAGACAAGTGGGACTATCAAATTATTAATTAGTACATTCTGATCTGTGTGGCAGATAGATTTGGCTTTCACAGGGATGTTAAGGGTTGATTACGAGACAGAGGTCAGAGTTTGTCAAGCAAGATAACTATTTTATATCCATAAGATGTTAGAGAAAGTATGTAGTGCACTAAGAAGCCTTGATCTCTATATAACCCTTTAGAAATACACTGTCAAATAAACGTGATAAATCAAATCACATTTATTTTATATCCATAAGATGTTAGAGAAAGCTTGGTTAATATATGTAGTGCACTAAGAAGCCTTCATCTCTATATAGCCCTTTAGAAATACACTGTCAAATAAACATGATAAAACATTTCACCAGTCTCTGTGGCCGGCGAAGATGCCACAGAGACAGGCGAAACGTTAGGAAGAACAACCTTTAGAACACAGCCAAAGAGCCCGAAAAACCCACAACAACCATCAAATCACATTCTCTTGCCTTCCTCATCTGCTGCCTCACTCTCACTAATAGTAGGGCTGGCCTTCTTCGAGTGGAATTTATTAATAAAGCTGCACAGCAAGTCTGCGGACATGCTATTTTTGTAAAGAAATTACAGAAATTCTTCCTGCCAAAAAAGACTAATCTACGGAATTGCTATCCTTGTTCATCAGGGTCTAAAGCCCTCCAGGGATAATTCTGCTGTCCTCTCCAGAGGGAAAAGCACACTTTGCTTGCACTATGTCTTTTGGGATTATCCCTGAGGTTTCGGCACAGCTTTCATGTAAGGGATGGGGTGGGGGAGAGATTAAGGGTTTTCAAAGGCTATTAAAAGATTGCTGCTTCTGTCTAGAATTCCTTCTAATCTATATGTCATGTGTGTGCCAGGATGAATTTCATTGAAAAGACCCAGCCATCTGTAATAAGACTGCAGCTTATAAATGTGTGTGTGTGTATGTGTGTGTTATGGGAGGTGGAAAGGAAATAGGGACAATTGGTGAATTTAGCAAATATATGCGGATTGCTGACGTGAAGTGCTATCAAAAGGTTCTTCTGATAGATGCTCCCTTTAATAAACACAGAGAAGACTGTATGTAATTTGCCATTTATACATGAGCTGAAGGGTGGGAGCGTATACAGATTAAGTAAACAAATCAGCAACTAGCTGAAAGTCACAGCGTGTTACTTGTCAGGACGGACTTAGCTTTGCTGGATTTTCTTTTGGTGGAAGTATTTAAGTGGTGACAGCCCTGTGCAGTCCTAGAAATGGCATAAAAGATTCCCTCCGAATTATATGAATTTGCATATTTTTGGGTTACAAAAGGCCTTGATCTAAATCATCAATATCCTGATGTCCTCTTTGGAAATTACCTTTCATTTCATCCCCTTCTTATTATTTTTATAACAATATCTAGGCAGGAGCGTTTGAACAGGATTAATACTACGTCTCACTTTAATTGTTGATGAGATTGTCTAGATAATTGGTTTATTAAGTAAAACAAACTAAGAGCAGCTGGTGTCATTAACCAGTTGAAATGCAGCGCATTTCGCAGCTGGTGCCAAGTAAGGTTGAATGCACAATTAAGGGCATTCAACTTAATATCCATTTTTTCCTCTTAGAATCAATGCTAATGTATTCATCCCCTAGTTAATGTCCTACATTAGAGCAATTCCTTGTTCTTAGCAGTTTAACAATTCCCACCTGGCATTTGCACACAGCATTCCAAAGCAACTTTCAAAGCACACAGGGCCCAATCCACCAGGTTCCCTTGCAAACCACCTTGAACTGAATTGGGAACTATGACTAAATTGTGCCTTTATTTTTACACTGAGAGATTTTGCAAATAAAAAGGCATGCATCAGATCTATTTAAATTCAAAGAGCTTAAAACTGAATTCCAATTTACAGCTTTGTCCTATGCTTCTTTACTCATAAGGCAGTTCCATGTGTAGAAAAGTAGACCTACACTGGACCCTCAACTTACAGATGGCTCGACTTACAGACTTTTCGAGTTACAGTACAGACTTCTCTGGCTAAATTCAAAGAGCTTAAAACTGAATTCCAAGTATAAATCACTATAATGTAACAAACACATAAATTTACAGCTTTGTCCTATGCTTCTTTGTAGAAAAGTAGACTTAATCATTTGACCACCAAAGACTTTTCGAGTTACAGTACAGACTTCTCTGGCTGCAAAATTTAGATTCGACTTGCAGCCGGAGATTCGACCTACAGACCAGAAAAAAACCAAAATGGAACAAAAATAGAATAAAAACCGCCAGTTATGGGATTAATCGGTTTTCAATGCATTGGAGGTCAATGGAGATTCGACCTACAGACTTTTCGACTTGCAGCCACCATTCCAATACGGATTAATTCCGTAAGTAGAGGGTCCACTGTAATCATTTGACCACCACCCTAAATGCATATGCTTGGGATTAAGCCGCAAGGGCTGGAATCCTAATGAGGATTTATGCCACAGGGAACTGGCTGGATTGTTCCATGAGTTAAAGGCTGTGGAGCCAGGGATTAGAAATTCCATTTCCCATTGGGCCTTTTGGGAGAAAAAAATCCCGAGTTTTCTCCCAACCTGCACAGTTCCAGAGCTCCACCCAAAGAAGGATCTGGTAAACTATTTCGATGTATTTCATACCTAGAAAACTCTGGGAAGGGTAATTGCAATTTGGAATCAACTTCTTGACACACAATTGATTTTAAATATAATTGAGTAAGTCATGGCAACTGCAATCCTATACTCGTTTACCCAGAAAGCAACGAGCAACCAAAATAAATGTGATTTTAAAGCGATGAACAGGATAAGTCTCTGTGTTGGTGTGTTGATCAAGGTACAAAGTTCAACCACGCAGTTAATAATGGGTGCAAACTGGTCACAGGCTTCTTGGGAAAACAAAATAGTCCTGGAGACTCCTGTTCTGAATAAAAATCAGCACACCTGCTCCCCTAAAAATCATACCCACAGAACAGCTATTTGCCCCACCCCCGACTGAAAATTGGGATATGGCAAAGTTCCTATGGAATAAGAACAGGGTACCTCATTCTAGTGCTGGAGGAGACTCTTGAGAGTCACCCCTGGACTGCAAGGAGAACAAACCTATCCATTCTGAAGGAAATCAACCCTCAGTGCTCACTGGAAGGACAGATCCTGAAGCTGAGGCTCCAATACTTTGTCTATCTCATGAGAAGAGGAGACTCCCTGGAAAAGACCCTGAAATTGGGAAAGTGTGAAGGCAAGAGGAGAAGGGGACGACAGAGGATGAGATGGTTGGACAGTGTCATCGGAGCGACCAACATGAATGTACAACCAGAGGACCAAAGAGTGGAGGACATCCTTAGAGGACCACATCTTCCAGGCTTGAGGGCGCACATCCATTCATCTCATGTTGAACTCTGTTGACTAGCAGGGCACTAATGTCTTAGCTAATTAAAATGGCGCAGGGGAAAGTGCTCCTTGAAAGGATTTGCTCCCAGAGGACGAGCACTCCTATCGAGGTAAAAATGACTTGACTGAATAGGATACATCGGACGTCTCATGAGAAAGCCAGAGTCGCTGGTAAAAAAAACCCAAGCGAATGCTCCAGCGATGGCCCGGACCCCCTCGCTATGCGAATTCATCGCATAGCGAAGCACTCGCTAAGCGAGGCACCACTGTATTTTAAATGCTGTAAGCCACCCAGAGACCTTTGGGTAGTGTGGGCGGCATATAAATTAAACAAACAAACAAACAAACAAACAAACAATCAAAATGGCGCGGTGGAAAGTGCTCCTTGAAAGGATTTGCTCCCAGAGGACAAACACTCCTATCGAGGTAAAAATGACTTGACTGAATAGGATACATCGGACGTCTCATGAGAAAGCCAGAGTCGCTGGTAAAAAAACCCCAACAACAACAAAATGCTGCGAAAGGTGGAAGGCAGCCGGAAAAGAGGACGATCAGAAATGAGATGGACAGGGGGCGCCCTTAAGGAAGCCACCGTGGCCTTCCCTTTGCAAGACCTGAGCGGGGCTGCGCTGACCTCCGGGAGAACACGGGTGCAGATGGTCGTCGGGAACCTGGAAGCATAATCCAGGCAGGGGACAGTCCGGCTTCCTTTGAATTCAGCGGCGGAGTTAATCGTTTACTTCCGAGCAAACGCGGGGAAGCCCGGAAGCGCCAAAGGCACCAGAAGCGAAAGTTGTCGGGAGTCTTGGCTCCGTTCCCGGGTGGACGAAGAGCCCCGGGGAGAGCGGGAGCCATGGCCGGGGGGGAGCCGCGGGGGCTCCGGGAGGCGCTGGAAGCTCGCCTGCAGGCCTTGGGCATCGAGGGGCTCACCGTGGAGCACCCCGAAGTAAGGGCGGGCCGGAGAAGGCGGGAAGGCGGAGGCAGCGGCCGGAGAAGTTTTCCCTTGGCCAGACCGCCGCTCTCGGGGAATCCCTATGCATGGGGATTCTGGGAGTTGTAGTCCGGAAAAGGAACTTCCTCTTCTTTAAACCCCCCCTTTCCATGCATCTCTTCTGGAGGGGTCGATTTTGCTCCGTGTTTTTCTGTTCCTAGAGCGATGGGAGAAGTTGGATGGTGCAATCAGATGCACCTCTACTCGGAAGTAAAGGGTGTGGGGGGGAGGTTAAGCGGGACTTAACTCGCCACGTCAGGGAGGGGGGGCAGTGGGCTTGTATTTGGGGCTGGCTTCCTCCACTTTTGGCCAGGCTGAGCGGGCTGTGATGGCCCAGGAATTGGTTTCCATGGTGCCCTTTGATTCAGATGTGCACAAAAGGGGAAACTGGAAATTGTAAATCAGTGAATGAACAATGCTAAACTTAAAAAAAAATAGCCAAAGCCCTTTCCGGGATGGGGAATATGAAACGTAACAGAAATGCAAAATGGCCAACAGGATCATGGTCAATAAGTGTTTCCCCTGTATAATCTTCCATTTCCCCTTTGCTGTTGTCAACAAGTTATTGTTCTACTTGGTGATGTGAATGCTCTCTGATGGTTGTGGTTGTAGAGTTTGGGATTCTAACGGAGAGACACGGGTTACTGTTAAAATCGTTAGGGGGATAATGAGTTGAGCCGGCATGGAGAAACCTTGTAACAAGTTTCATATGCTAGAAGCCATACTATTACCCACCCTTTGATTCAGATGTGCACAAAAGGGGAAACTGGAAATTGTAAATCAGTGAATGAACAATGCTAAACTTAAAAAAAAATAGCCAAAGCCCTTTCCGGGATGGGGAATATGAAACGTAACAGAAATGCAAAATGGCCAACAGGATCATGGTCAATAAGTGTTTCCCCTGTATAATCTCCCATTTCCCCTTTCCTGTTGTAAACAAGTTATTATTCTACTTGGTGATGTAAATGCTCTCTGATGGTAGTGGAGTTTGGGATTATAATGGAGAGACACCGGTTACTGTTAAAATCGTTAGGGGGATAATGAGTTGACCCGGCATGGAGAGACCTTGTAACAAGTTTCATACGCTAGAAGCCACACTATTACCCACATCCATCAGTTGTATATATGTCTGCATTATATTTTTACCCACTTTTCTCCTTGAAAAGCATCCAAGGTGGCTTACATCATTAAAAGATAGTATTTAAAGCCAACAAAGAATTAGTCAAGACATTCTGTTGCTACCAAGGATCACATCTGATCCCTGAGATGTTTTATTTGCATATCAGTTTGCATCCATGTGAAAAAAATGGTAGATATCACCGATCTTTGTTGACTTAAAAAACAGGCATTTAGCTGTCCTTTTGAAACCAGCTTAAAATAAATCAGTATGGACAGCAATCTTTTGTCTTCTCCCATGGTTGAATGAATGAACGACTCTTTCACGTGCTGTTTGGTCCAGTAACCACTCACATAATTAAACAAAGCATTAAAACATGTAACAAACACAATTTAAAACAATTTAGCACACATTTAAATAAAACAAACAAAACTCCCTTTACGTCTTCTCCTGCGTCACTGCAGAGACATTAGACATTTCGCCTTAACTCGGGAAGAGTGTTCCAGAGTGCTGAGGCAACAACACAAAAATATATTTTCTGAATGCATTAAAAGTGGACAACTTGTAGGAGACAGCACCTTTGAAAATGCAATTATGGACAACCTTAATTGCTTATAAAGGTAGAGGCCTCCCAATAGATATGTGGGTCTGAATTGCGTAAGGTTTCAAAGGCAGTAAACAACACCTTGAATTGAATCTGGAAAACCCCACTGGTAGTCAAACAGGGACAGATAGCAAAATGGCTGAGTTGAGTATGGCTTCAGTTTATATCAGCAGGAGAAGCGAGGGGTCTAATAAGACACCGAAAGCAGCTTACCTGGTCCACAGTGGGAATCTTTACTCCATCAGCCATTACAAAGGTGATGGCTGAATTTCCTGAGTGACCAGCATTGTGAGCAATCTCAATACATTTCACCATGGGCTTCAGGAGGTGGAATTTTGTGAATTGGTGGCATGTGTATTTGGGTCACTAAACCATATCAGGGAAATATCATACTGTTCCCTTTGTGTCTTTTAGGTGTTCACAGTTGAAGAAATGATGCCCTATGTGCAGCATTTGAAAGGAGCTCATAGCAAAAACCTTTTCCTTAAAGATAAGAAGAAGAAAGGTTACTGGCTGGTGACGGTTCTACATGACCGGCAGATCAATTTAAATGACTTGGCGAGGAAATTGGGTGTCGGCAGTGGGAACTTGCGCTTTGCCGATGAAGGGGCCATGTTGGAGAAGCTGAAAGTTGGCCAAGGATGCGCGACCCCCTTAGCTCTTTTCTGCAACCAGGGAGATGTGAAGTTTGTGTTAGATGCAAGCTTTCTGGAAGGAGACCACGAGAGACTGTATTTTCACCCAATGACAAATGCGGCAACCATGGGATTACGTCCAGATGACTTCCTAAACTTCCTGAAGTCTACGGGACATGAGCCTATAATTGTACATTTTGACAAAAGTGACAAGTAGTTTTACAGCACTGTTTCTGTAACTTGAGGCTCAGTGGTCAAGAAAAAGATGCCAATTATTAAAGAGAATTGTTTGAGAATTACAATTGCTTCTCAGCTGAATTGTTTGCTAGTAGTTGCAAGCTGATGCTGAGCGGTTTCTCATCCTGCAAGTCTATATGAGTAGGGCACATTTTAGCACTGGGCTCAGACTTTAGGAGGAGGGCTCCAGAGTCAGTTCCTAACACTAAGGGAGAACTTTTGGCTTTCCAGAGCTCTTTTTGTCTGCAACTTCCATCAGCCTCATCCTCTTTGGCCAGTGGTAAAGAATTGCAGGAGCTAAGTTTTAAACATCTGAGGGCCCGTGGTTCCTTGCCCCTGGCCCCCAACATATCCACCAAAAAAGGATCTTGGGAAACATAAGAAATGTTCTCTGCAGCAACTCTCAAGAACCTCTCCTGCCACTACTGCAATGCTGACTGAGGGATCTGAGGAGTTTTAAAAAAATGACTAGTGGATAAAGTGACAGGCTAGGTAGGATTCAAGGGGTCTGGGTCCTATATGTTATTAAGCAGCTCAGTTGTCTTGGAGGTATAGCTCGCACCGTTTATCTGAAATTGTGGTTTTGTTCTGGAAGGTGAGCTAAGCAAGCGTCTGTGATCAGCTAGGATACCTTGACACTTCTCAACCTCTAACCTAATTAAATTAATCAAGGCTAGGGGAGCAAAGGAATTCTGATTGCTGAGTCACTATCCAATCAAGGTATGAAAACCCATTCATAAAACACTATCACCACTAGCAAATTTATTAGCAGTGATTAACAGTGGCCAAAATTCTGTTCACGTAACTTTGCATGTAAATATAAATTCTGTATTCCTAAAATTTATTTTAAATTCATTAAATGCTTCCCATCTCACTTTAGGTTCCAGAAAGGTCTGGAGGCATTCAAGAGAAAATTGGACAACCATCTGTCAGATCTGCTTTGATTTAGATTTAATTTTGGTTTAGTCTTGAAACCTAAAATGGGGAGATAGATAGATGGTTGTTGTGGGTTTCTCAGGCTCTTTGGCCGTGTTCTGAAGGTTGTTCTTCCTTCGCCAGTCTCTGTGGCCGCCATCT